CCAGAGGGCCCCGGTTCAGATCCCGCATATGAGGGCCAGTGACACTGCCCTCCACAGCTAAGATGCTGAACAACAGCTCAACCTGGAGCTGGGCTGCCGTGAGTCGGCGACAGCAGGTGGGTTGCCATGGGCTACCGTGTGTAGCCAGCAGCCAGGGTGAACGGCCATCCAGAAGAAGCCGGCGACTGAATTGCCTCGCCCAGGAAGAGCGCAATGATGGTGCCAACTTGGGCCAGTGAAGCAAAGTCCTCCACAACTAGACTGAAGAACAAAAGAATAGCAACTTGTCTGTTCCCCTTCCCCCAATTCCCCAATAAAAATCTTAAAAAAAACTGCTTCCCCAATCTCTGAAGAGGGGTGTCCCAGCCACAGGGAAGGGCATGAGCAGAGGTGGAGATGAGCACGCACAGACTTCAGGGAGTAGAAAGGGAAATGTGAGTCTAGGACTACATGGTGGCAAGTGGTGACACTGCCCTGGCTGCCACCATTACACCTTAGCCCTGAGCCATCTGAGCCGTTCCAAAGAGGGGTCAACCAGGCAGCTCCAGCTAGGGAGAGTACTCAGGACGACCCACCAACCTGCCTGCCCCTGACTTTTCCCCTTGCTCCCTCATTTCCATCCCAGTCTTGCTGCTTCTGTCCCCTTAGCCGGAAATGCGCTTTCCTAGGACCTGCAGACTCACTGGTCTCATCTTCTCCAGGTCTTTGTTCAAATGTCACCATCTTAGTGTGGCCTTCCCTGACCACCTTATTTGAAATGTAATGCCCTACCCACACCAGCCACTTTTAACCCCCTCCCTGCTGCATATTTCTTCTTAGCACCCATCATCATCCAACATACTTCGTAGACAGCGTATTTATCTAGTTTGCGGTCTGTTCATCTTCACTAGAATGTAAGCGCTATGAAAGCAAGAGATTCGATCTTTTGTTTACTGATGTATCCTCAGCATGCACGACTGACAAAGTGGGGGTTCCATAAGTATTTAATGAATTAAATTGTTGGGAGGGCTACTCTGACTTGGCTCCAGGTTTTACTGATTGGTAGGGGCTATAGAGGGCTGGGGCCATAACCTGAGCTTCAAACTCCAACCCAGTGTCCACCCCAGGCTCAGAAAGGTCAAGTAACTTTCTCAAGATCCCACAGCCAGGAAGTGCTAGAGCCAGATGTTGAACATGAGTCTCACTATCTGTGTTGCTTACAGTAATTGGGACCAAGCCACATTTTATTCATGTTACCATCTTCCCAGCGCCCAGCTGAGACATAGCTTATACCAGGTACATGTGGATGTCTGAGTGAATTAGTGAAGAAGATACTCTGTGAACGCCAGTGGAGTCAGATACAGCAAGGGTTTTAGCTTTGCCTCTGCCACTTACTAGCTGTGTGAAATTGGCAAGTTAATTTCTCTGATCCTCAGTTGCTGTGAAGTGAGGATCTTGGTACATAACCCTCCAGGTTACTATGTCCTCATGAATGTAAAGATTTTGGAAGAGGAGCTGGCACGTAGTGCAGAATAAATGTTAAAGTAGGGGGCAAACTTTTAAAATGGGGAGCTGTGAATTCTGAGCGAGTGCCTCATCAGTGGAAGTGTTGCAAATGAATGCTGAAAACTGGGCATTTCTTTTCATTCTCACAGGTAGTATTACTACCCCCATTTTACTGATTAGAAGATTGAGGCACAAAGGGGTTAAGTCTCTAGCCCAAGGTGTAGACGAAAGCCAGTTTAGGGGACTGTAGCGGGAATGAACCAATGGGAAAGAGATCAGAAGGAGCCAGAGTCTCCAGTGCAACCCTTTCAGGATCCCCATAGGGACCCGGACCCGCTGTTCAGGCTTAAACGTGCATTGAGTCCCGCGCTCAGAGGCATCTACAATAGGCACCGCCCGCCTCCGCCCCGCCCCTTGCCCTCGAGTTGTCCAATCCCATGGTTTTCATGTAAATGAATCACCTAGAGAGAGCCTATGAAAGAGTGTCAGAGGCGTGGTCTTTGTCCACCCCCTGAACGAATCAGGGCAATGTTCTGATTCATTGTTAAAATAAAGAGGCTGTGACCTCGGCGCCCCGCCTCAGCACCCCCTGTGCGTGGAAACCCGAGCCGAGGTTAGTACTGCGTAGCGGAAAGGGTGGTGGAGGGGAGGAGGAGAGGAGAGCAGGGAGGAAAAGGTGGAGGGGTGAGGGATACGGGGAGGGAGAGACTGGCTGACTGGTTGGAAGGAGAGAGGTCCAGGGGTCCATTCTCCGGGTGGGGCATCCGCTGTGTCCGCTGAAGGTTTTTCGCTGTTATATCCACACCTAAAGTGCATTTCAGACAAGGGTTCTGCCAATTGGTTGGGGTGTGGAGTAGGAAGAGGGAGCAGTGAGGGGCGAGTGGAGTAGAGCCATCCTGAGTGGCGGTCTCCTTCTAAGTCGTTGCTCCTTTTTGTGGCCGGACCGGGAAAGAACCGCCCAGGCTGGGTGGGACAGATGCGCGCCCACTCTACCACTGGGAGCAGGGAACGACGCGGGGAGATGACTGCCCAGAGAAGATCGGAGACCCCGGAGCCACCGAGGGGCCAGTGGGTGCCCCCTCCACACACACCGTGCCCTTCCACCTCCCCAGGTCTGATGGTGGAGCAGCCAGAAACCTTGGCCCTGGATGCCCTAGGGGAGGACATGAAATTCCCCAGCTCTCAGGTGAGATTGGCAACAGAGGCTGGATCTCCTGGGACTCTGTGGAGCAAACTGTCCAGGTGAGGACAGGTATGGGCAGTGACCTGGGGGCACCGTAAGAGGAAGCAGGTTTGTGAATATGGATTCCTCTCATCCCCATCCCCTCCTGGGGCTCTGTGTGGGTTAGGAGGGCATCTTCAAGTCACTCTTCTGTCAGGGCTCCCCTGCGCCCCCAGACATGGCATTGGAGCCCTCAGTGGCACAGAAGGGGCAGCCCTATGCTCAAGTCAGAACACAACGGTTTCTCTTTGGCCAATCTCTGCCACAAACTTGCTGTGTGACCTTAGGTTGCTCACTTTTGTCCATGACTTTGTCCTCAACTCCAAAAATACCTGGCTGGCCTTTTGCCTCATTCCCAGTGTTCCCCAAGGGACTTGTGTGAGCTGGCAGTGTGATCCAGTGCCCCTCACTTCCACCTCCGGGGTGGGGAGGCGAATGGGCACACAGGCCTGGCTTTGGATCCAGTTCAGCCACTGGGACATTCAGCAAGTTATGGAACCTCTGTGAGCCTTCGTTGCCTCATCTGAAATGGGCAGGAAAACTGTAAGGCAAGGGCATTCCAACTTTGGGGTACACTGGAATTCCCTAGGAGACTGAGACTTTTTAAAAATGCACACCCCCAGGCCTCACCTTCAGATAGATCTGACTGAGCAGATCAGGGGAGGGAACTGGGAATATGCATTTTATAAGCAGCTTGGCTGAGTCTAATGCAGGGCCTTGGAACACACTTGCAGCAATGCTGTAGTAATGACGAGAAATCACATGTGAAATGCTTGGTAGAGTGCCTGGTGCTTAGTAGGTGCTTAATAAGTGTTTGTTGAATGAATAAATGAACAAATAAGTGAATGGATGGATAACATTATTTCCTTGGTCCTTGCCTGTCTAGGGGCAAACTGGGGTTGGGGTCCAGGTGGGCTGCCAGCCAGTCACCTGGTCCTTGCCTCACCCCCATTCTTCCCAGGCCCCATCATCAGATCACAGGAGCTGCCCTGGCCTGACTCAGCCAATATGGAGAGGGCGGCTGAGAATGGCCCCTGTGAACACTTTGAGGCCAATGTGCTTGCCCAGAGCTGCTGTCAAAACTGCTTGCACCCAGAGGAGGCCCACAGAGCAAGGCACCAGGTGGGCCGGCTTTCCCGAATGGTCAGGGTGGTTTGGGATGGGGGAGTTTGTGATGGGCTGGGGCCTGGCTGGGCCACTCACTTGCAGTTGAACCCAGACACTGGCCTTCCTCCTGGGCAGAGCCTGAGTTTTCCCAGCTGTACAATGAGGTGGTGGGACCATGTTAATGTTTCCTAAATGCCAGTCATTTTCCCCCTGCATTTATGATTTTTTTTTGGCCATAGCCTCATGTAACCTATTACTTACCTTATTATTCTTTAAATCACACCCTTTTTTCACTTACACTAAAACAGAACTTTATATCACCTCCACAAATAGAAAACTGGGATCATAGGCTTTATATAGAAGGTTAAAAAGAGAGAAAGAAAAGGACAAAAAAAAGAAATATCATTAAATTCTAACTAGAGAGTACTGTTGGCTGAAGGCTCTGAGCCTGTGTCCTGCTGTCTCTCTGTTAAAAAGGGAGATTGGCAGGTGTTAGAGAAGCGTTAAAAATACCCCTAGCACCCACCAAAGACTTTCTCCTTGAAGGTATTGAAGGAGTGAAAGGGGAGGCATTTTCTCACTTTAAGATCCATGTCCTGATACACATAAACCCAGAGTGCCAGGTACACATGCTCTGAGAAGCACGGGACCTGTGAATCTCTACGGGCCCTTCCAGCCTTGACCCATTATGGCGCTGTCATTCCCAGAGGGTCCTGGGGCAGGGTGTTAGGCCCCAAGAGGTGACCTTTGAAGGGGAGTCACCGTTCAGCTTTCGAGCCAGGCAGGCCAGGGCTTCAGTGCTAGGTTTGCCATCTCCCTGCTGTGTGACCTTGGATCACTCACTCCCTCTGTCTTCCCTCTCCTAAAGAGTAAAGTGGGGCAACAAAGCTGCTCACTCAGGGCCTCTGGCACTGCTTAGCCCAAGTCACATGTAACTATTGGGTTGTCGGAAAAGTCATGACACTTATTGTTTTTCTTAAAGACTTTATTGGGGGGTTGGGGGAGGGGAACAGTGTTGGGGAATTGGGCAAGGGGACCAGCCAAGTTGTTGCTCTTCAATCTTCTTTGTGTAGGACGCCAGTCGCCATCTGGCTGCCCATCGGCAGCTCGTGGCCTCTAAGCTCAAGGTGCTGTGTTCAACCTTAGTTGTGGGTGGGCGTAGCCACCGTCCCATGTGGGAGTTGAACCAGCAGCCTTGTTGTTAAGAGTGCACGCCAATATCTACTGAGCCATCTGGGCGGCAGCTCAGCTCAAGGTGCCAAGTTCAGTCTTAGTTGCGGGTGGGCATAGCCCACCATCGAACAGGCAGTCTTGTTACACCAGCTGAGCCATCCCGCCACCTGTTGGCAGCCCAGCAACAGCTCAGCGCGGGCGCAGCGTCACTGGCCCATGTGGGAATCAAACCTGCGGCCTTGCCGCTCAGAGCTCACGCTCCTAAGCCAGCTCTTAACCAACTGAGCCACTGAGCCAGCCCCAGTCATGACACATTTTTGCAATGAAAAACAGAAAAAATACGTCATGACTTTTCCGACAACGCAATAATTCAATACACTTAGTTTCCTCTTTTCCTTCTTCCTGACCAGAAAAGCAAACCTGGGAAATTCCTTTCTACCTGTCTTGATACCTGCAATAACATCTTCCCTACCCTCACCCACAAGTTCAGGGAACAGATGCCTGAAAGCCCCGTAAGTCCATCTCCCATAAATGACCTCTTCCAATGGATGGGGTGATGACAAGCGAGGAGCAGGAGAAGGAATCTGGATACACACAGGTCTGAGTTCTAGCCTCAGTCCTACCTCTTCCCAGCTGAGACCTCGGGCCAGCTCACATGTTCACCCATATTGAATGGGTGCTAAAAATGTGCCAGGCATTATGCTATGGGTTGGGGAAACAGTGATAGACACAGTCCCTGGTCTATGGGGCTTGTAGTCTAGCAAGAGAAATGAAGACTAATTAATCATGTGCATAATTATGATTGTGGTAAATGTTGTAAGGAACAGCAAGTGGCATGAGGGTAAATGACAGGTTCCTCCAAGGAAATGACATTTCAGCTGTTTGGTAAACCTTGGTAATTGGCCAGTGAAGTAGGGGGAAGAGGAGAGGAAAGGAACAGTAGGTGCAAAGGCCCTGAGGCAGAGAGGAAGAAGCATATTGGCGGATGCAGAGAGGCAGGAAGAGGGAGGGGCAGAGGAACTCCAGGACAAGGATGGAGAATGGGGTAGGGCTGGTCTCACCAGGCCTTATGGGGCCGTGTGGACATGCTGACTGGACTTTTTTCCTGAGAGGCGTGAGAACCATTGAAGATGTGATCAGATTTGCATTTTCAAAAGTCACTCTGACTGCAGGGCAGAGAATGGAGTGCAGAGAGTGAGAGTGAATCAGGGTGACCAGTGAGGAAAAGGTACAATTACTCATGCCGGAGACGACAGAGACTTTGAGATGGAGAGAAATGGACGCATTTCAGAACTAATTGAACGGGAGAATCTAAAGGATTTAATACCTGAGGAACATGGAGGAGGTGGAACATGGCTGACTTCTAGGTTATTTCCTGAGGCAGGTACTTGGGATAGGAGATCCCTCTCCAGTTGTTTGGGGTGATGAGTGAGAGGTGCCTGTGGGTCACACTGGAGATGAGGGAATAACTGAAATATGGAGTGCAGGAGCCAGACATCTGCTGGAGATATAGAGGCTGTCAAGCCATCAGGGTCTGGTGCTGATGACAGCCTTGCTCATAGATGAGCAGTTTCAAACGTGTGGAGTCACAAAATCTGTGTGTTAAAGAAGCTCCCACACCTGAATGAGGTTTGCGCAGTTCCCAGCTGGACCCCTCATTACACCTGGGCGCACCCTCTTTCCTGAGGGCCTGATGAAGGTATCCCCTGGGGTAGAACCAGTTCTGACATCTTTACCTACCCTAGAATGTGCAGGAATGGCCTAGGTCCCCGGGCAGCCTCCTCCCCAAAGCTCCTCCCAGCTCCCCTGAGATCCCTCTCTGCTCTACTCTCAGCCGAGTCTCCCGCAGGCTGGGGTGGGGACGGGATTATCCCTGGAAATCACTTGGCCTTGACCAGGTCATGGCCAGGCTCTGGATGGAGGGCCTAGGTGGGAGGGTCCTGCTGTATGCCAGGCGTCATACATCCTTTTAAATGTATTTATTCTTAAGTGCATTTAATAGTCTATCGATTGAACACTAACAAAATGCTGTTGGGTTGTCGGAAAAGTCATGATGTATTTTTTTCTGGTTTTCGTTGCAAAAATGCATCATGACTTTTCCGACAACCCAATATTTAATGTTTTCATATTATCTATTATACTGGGGGTACCAAAAAAATGTATATGCATGACTTGTATTCAACTTTTGTTATCGGTATATTTTGAGTATCACAATTTTAATACAGTTTTTTTTCTTTCTTAAAATGTGTATACATTTTTTTGGCACCCTCTGTATTTAAGATGTACAGAGCAGGCAATGTTCTAAACCCTTTACTCATTTTACCTCATTTAATTCTTATAGCACCTCTAGGAGGTGGGTCCTCTTATCATTCCAGTTTTGTAGATGAGAAAACCAGGCTCAGAGAGGGGAAGCCACTGGTCTGAGGTCACCCAGCTGGGAAGTGGAGGTGCCGGGATTGGGCCTAATGTCTGTCTGAGGCCAGAGCCTATGCTGACCCGCCAGACAGAAATCAGAGCCAGGGACTGGCTGATGGGCCAGCTCATGCAGGTGGTGGGTAGTGATGGAAGCTGGGGGTGACAGCAGGGAGCAGGTGCCATGACAGGTGACAGGCTGGGGGTCCTGCTGGGCCCAGCTGGCCTGGGACCCCTTGGCAATGCCCAGCAAACTGCTCCCTCCTCATTCATGCCGTGAGGTCCCCAGGGCGGCTAAGGCGCCAGGCCGGGCTGTGGATCTGACACCTCCTGCTGCCGAGCTCTGATCAGAATCTGGCTCCAGGGCAGGGGGCGAAACTGAACCCAGACGGGCTTCTCTGGCTTGGATGGCCTGGCAAACACCCTGGCCCCACTCCTTGGCCCTGCCCAGGTCCTGCTAGTGGCCGCCTTCTTGGACCCAGAAAGCCTGTGCCCACCCTGGGGCTGTAGCCAGGCTGTGGCCTCGGCCCTGAGCTCTGGGCTCCAGGGTCCCCAGGGAGCCCATTCCCAGGCCCCCGCCCAGCCAGCTCTCAGGTGAGCTGTGGAGATCAGGTTCCTGTGGTTTCATGTCCTGCATTGTTCTTGGCTGGGCCCCGGCTTATGAAACAGTAATGAGGGGCCCCTGCTCCCGCAGCCGGCCCCTCTAAGGTTTCTGCTGCCTCGGCCGCCGCCGCCACGGCCCAGAGTCGGGGCCTGGGAGGGCGGCAGCATGGGGGCCTGAGCCGTAGCCCCCCGGGGACGAGGGTGCTGACAGCCGCCAGCCGCCACCGCCGGAGCCTGCCGCCCAGGTAACCCGAGAGGAGGCGGGGTGCAGGGTGCTGTGGCCGCTGTCTCCCACCAGCAGGGGAGGGCTTTGCCACCCCTGGGGGTGGGGAGGGTTGGGGGGGCCTTCCCGGAGGTGAGTAGCCGTTCCCCCTGGGTGAGCCCAGCACCAGCCCTCACAGGTGTGGCCTTGCTAAGGACGGAGGAAGACAGAAGCGGGCAGTCGACTCAGGCCCCCGCCCCCGCCCCTAGGGCCGTACCCCTCCAGCCCTGAAGCCCCTTGCCTCTCCTCTAATGGGGCCTACCTCCCCTTTCCGCCAAGGCCTTTTCCCATCCCCTCCTCCCTCAGACTGCATCTTCCTCCCCCATTCTCCAGGCAGTCTTAGTCCTTCCCTCTCACCCTCCTTCCTTATCCGTCTTCTAGCTACAGTAGACCCTTTTGGGTCCTTTTGTGTACTTAACATCCTCAAGCACACACACCTACATATGTGTCAACACACACATATAAACACACTTACATGCACTTATGCAAACATATGCACTAGTGTACTGCCTGGACTTGAATACACATGCATGCACGTGTGCACATTTACACTCACACAGGCCTTTATATGCACACATACCTGTACACACATGTGCATGCACACTCCCTGTACCTCTGCCAGCCCCCAGCTTGGGTCCCCTGGGGCGCTTCCAGCCTGATGGACAGCTCTCCTTGAGAAGTCTGAGATCCCAGGAGGAGATGCCTGGAGACTCTCTTCCACACCGCCTGGTGGGGGGAGGGGCCGCACAGGGGGAGGGGAGCCCCCACGTGGGCCACGAGGTGCCTCCTCTTTCCAACTCTGTCCCAGGAGCCTGGGAGCCCTCCAAGTGCTGAGGTGCCCTACTGCGACCTGCCCCGCCGCCTGCCTGCCTCTGAGGACCCGCTCAGTGCCTCGACCTCCGGCTGCCAGTCTGTGGTGGGCCTGGGCCTTGGGCCAGGGCCTGAGAGGTGGGTAGAGCCCCCGGGCCTGGGGAGGGGCTCCCGGGGTAGCCCTCCCCCACCCCGGCCCACACCCCTTCACAATTGCAGCGTCTGTCTGTGATGGCTGTTAGCGTAGGTCACATGGTCAGTCCGCACAGCCAGGCACAGGCAGGCAGTGGGCATGTTCCTTGAGCCATAGCTCAGCTTCTCCAGGGTGTGGAGCAGCCATACACCCACCCTGCCGTGGGCATGGCCCACAGCCCGCTCACATTTCCAGGTTCCCTTTGCACAGCTTTAAAAAATTAAACAGGTTTCTCACCCACCTACCTACCTGACTGCGCGCGGCTCCAGGCTCTGGGTTTCCCTCCACTCCAGTCCTGAGCTGAACTGAAGTCCCCCTTTGGGGCCAAGGTGCTTCGGGAGGGCACAGCTGAGGGTCTAGACACCTGGCGTCCAGCTTCAGCTCCGTCCCTGTTCGGCTGTGGGACGATGCGCATGTTATTTTCTCTTTTTGTGTCTCAGTTTCCCTGTTTAAAAAATAAGAATTGAATCGAATCAGCATTGCTTTGGGAACATGTGTTCCTCACAGGTAGACATTATTTTTTTAAAAACCAAAAGCTCTGCCATCAAATATTTCAGAAAGTCTGGGATAAACTGAGTTGGATGTCTTTCTTGTAGGACTGGTCGAAGCCTTTCATTTGCGGGCATGCACTGTGCTTTTGAATGGGGGAAGTAGAAGTGCGTAGTGTGTCTCAAACGTGTTTGACCACAGACCCCTTTTTTCAGGGGTCATCACCCATTTCTATCTTGTAGGGCAGTGTGGGTCACTCTTTGGGGATACTGCCAGCTCTAAGCCTACATGGCCCCGTGGCCATCCCAACTGGCTTCTCTAAAGCAGGGCTTTCTCTGAATTCCCTCCCTTGGCAGATAGACCGGTGGCCCTGTCAGTGCTACCTCTCAGGGGCCCTGATTAGCCCAGCACAATTCTGTCTTCTTAGTCTTCCTGAGCTTGGGGTCCCCACTCCTGCTCCAGTGACAGAGGACTGGGCCTGGGGCCACAGCCCAGGTTTACAACGCAGCTCTGCTCTTTCCTAGCTCTGCGCCCTTGGCCGGGCCCTTGGCTTCTCTGAGACTCAGTTTCTTTATCTGTAAAATAGGAGTCATTACACTCACTTCAAAGAGAGGCTGTTGTAGCTAAACAGCCCATGTAAAGAGCCCAGCACAGAGAGCCCTCGGGGTCAGCTCCCTCTTCCACTCTCATGTGAGGTGTGTGTGTGTACCCGCGTGGGGGTGTTTCTCCTTAATTCCCATTACTTTGGGGGAAAAAGTGATGGGTCTGTCTCCTGTCCCAGGGGCCCAGCGGCAGGGCTTCCCGCAGAGGGCCCCACAGCTGCCCCCAGGAGCAGGAGCCGAGAGCCGGAGGCAGTGCCCTATCTGGAGGGCCTGGCCTCCTCCCTGTGTGGCAGCTTCGACGAGGGCCCTGACTCTGGCACCAGCTCCAGCCCTGACTGTGACGCCTCTGATGATACCAGCAACTCGTCCTCTGTGGTGAGCTGGGGGCGGGAAGCTGAGGGCAAGAGCAGATCACCCCTTCATGCCAGCCCCGGGGTTCCACACAAACCTCCACAGGAAGGCTGAGCCTCTCACACCAGGGAACTGGGCAAAGGGCCTCTGGAGACTTAGAGGGCACCTCGGGCCACCCAGATCACCCACTTGGGAGGGGTAGGTGTCTCTGCAGCGTTGGTCACGGAGGGCTGGAGGGTCTGGCTGTGGAAAGATGGAGAAAGGAGTTTCAGTTGTTATGGAGTTCCACGCGAGTCAACCAACAGGTTCAGGCTGCCAGAGGCTCTTGGATCACAGGACACAGAGGGCCAGGATGCTGGGCGTGCTGTCCAGAGCAAGGATGGGATTGGCACTGGCTCCTGCCCTGGTCACACACCACTGAGCCCCATGACCACAGGACAGAGAGAGGGAAAGGAGCAGGCTGGGGGGCCTAGCCAGGGCTGGGGGCCATTTAGCCTGGAGAACGGGAGACTCAGGGGAAGTTCCTGGGCATTCACCCCTCAAAGGGCTATCACGAGGTAGAAGAGGCAGACTATCCATGAGACCCCCAGGGGGAAGTGACATGATGGCAGGCGTGGGCTCAGGAAGGCTCACCACCCCGCTCTGAGGTAGAGGCTTTTATGACCCTGTTTTGGGGCAAGAAAACTGAGGCTCAGAGAAGGAAAGCAATGAAGCCACACATCTGGTAAGTGGTGGGCTAGTCTTGAATCTACTTCTTCCTGGATCCTGGGAGTGTCGCTGGGGTTGGAAAATATTATGCCAAGGCCCTCCCCATGTAGAGTCCAACTGCCCTGGGTTCAAGTCCCCTCCCATGTAAACCATTTCCCAGTTTCGTGACTTTGGGCAAGTTCTTAACTCCAACGGACGGGCCGACCTCATGGGGTTGACTGAAGATTAGCTGAGTTACCCTGCAGAGAGCTCGGCACAGTGCTGGGTATACAGCAAGTGCTCTTTCAATGTCAGTTCCTTTCCCTTCCTTCTCTCCATCTCATGCTGGGAGCGTAGGCCCAGGGGTTTCTCCAAGAGGCACGCTTTCTCCTCCCCTTCTCTGGCAGGACTGGGACATTGTCGAGAGGCTGGAGGAGGCCTCCAGCTGGGACGAGCTCACCGTGATGATCCCTCGGAAGCTGCAGGAGGGGCCAAGAGCTGACAGTGCCCGAAAGGCTCCATCTCTCCTCAGCCGGTCCCCTGTAGGAGGAGACACTGCAGGCCAGAGAAAGGAGGGTGAGTCTTTCTGCCAGGCCAGGTTAGTCCCTGTGACCATGGACGAGGTGATGGCCAGGGGCCTAGATAGCCATGTCACTGGCCATTTGGGCCCTTGGGCATGTCTTCCTTCGGTGGGTTAGGATCCTCAGGTTGTAAGTGACAGAAACTGGCTGAGTTAAAAGTCTAGGGGGTGATGACTTCAGGCATGGCTGGGTCCAGGTGTTCAAACTGCATCAAAAATCTGGTCTTTGTTCTGCTTTGTTCTGTGGTGGCTTCATTCTCAGTCGGACCCGCTCCCATATGGCATGATGAGCTGCAGCAGTGCCAGGCTGTATCCTACTTGCTTATTAACCTCACAGACAGAGGACACAATCTTCCCAGCAGATGTAGCTAAAGTCTCAGGAAGGGTTCTCCCTGGCACCCAGCATAGCTCATATGCCCAACCTGGTGATCAGGGATGGGGTCAGCCCCCTGTGCAAACCTCATGGCCTGAGAGTGGGAAAGAGGAGAAGGTCCAAAGGAAATCAGGGTGATGATGTTCCCAGAGAAAGCGGAAAGGGCTGCTGGTCAGGCCAAGCCCACAGATGCACGTGACACTGGTTAGCATCTCACGGGTATGTGAGCCCAGCGTGCTGAGCCCCAAAGCTTGGGCCCCCTATCACCACTACCCCGTGTTGCCTCCTGATCTGTGACTTTAGCACCATCAGGATTTGGGGATGTGGGCTAAGGCACCCATGTCCTCACCCTGGCTTCCCATGGCTCCTATAGCATTCAGTCATCCAACATGCCAGCACTACCTCTGCATAAAATCTGGTGCTAGACTCCTTGGGTGTTTAGGAGGAGTTAGACATGGTCCCTGCCCCAGATAGGTCATCAAGCAGACAATGGGAGATGATGAACCGCAGCCCAGGACAGAGGAAGAACAGAAACACGTGCCACGCTGTGAGCGCAGAGCTGGGTCTGGGCAGGGGCAGGGGATAAAGAGCTTCTTTCCAGCCAGGAATGGACTCACAGAAGAGTGCCTCCTGCAGCTGGTGCTCTAGCTGAGAAAAAAGCCTGGGCTTGGAGGTGCGAATAGGGAATAACCTGGTCTGTACAGCTTAAGTATAGATGGGGGGCATACAGCTGAGCCAGACCGTGCCGGGCCTCGAGTCTAGCCAAGGAGTTTGACTTCCTTCTCCAAGCAGCAGGGAGTCACGGGAGGTTTTTGAGGAGGGGCGTAATATGATTGGACCTGTGCCTGAGGAAGTTCACCAGGGCAAAGGTGTGAAGGATGAATCGGAGCGGGGCAAGGCTGAGGGATGAGCCAGTAAAGGGACTATTGCAGCCACTGTGGTGATAACTGGTTCAGGCACGAATCACCGGCTGATGCTAATTCCTGGGTGAAAGGTTGTCGGGGAACAGGATATTCACACGGTCTCAAAGTATCACCCCTCAGATTACACATCGATTACAGAAGGAAAAGGCACCCTTAGGACGGGAAGATCTGGCAGACACCACCTAACCAAGTGGCCACTCAGCATCCCAGCGTGGGGCGAAGCGGCATCAGGTGCCCCCATGTGATGCACAGACGAGGACACGGCATCCTTTCTGAGTCTTGTTAAAAATGCACCGCCTGCATCTAGTCCCGATGCAGCATCAGACAAACCCAGATTGAGGGACATTCTGCAAAATAGCTGACAGGACTCTTTATGAAAGACAAAAAAAGGCCTGAGAGCTGTTCTTGTATAAAAGAGGCTACAGAGATGGGGAAGCAAAATGCCACGTGGGGTGCTGGACTGGATCCAGGATGCGAAGTTAGAACTGTGAAAGACGTTATGGGGACAGCTGGGGCAAGTTGAGTATGGACGTGTGTTCGAGAGCAGTATCGTGTCCACGCTATGTTTCCTGAGTGCGATAGTGGAAGGAGACTGTCCTTGCTCTTAGGAGTTGCATTAGAAGGGGGTTGAGGTGAAGTGTCATCAGCTAACTCTCATACAGTTCAATAAGATAGATAAATGATAGGTAGAGAGAGAGAGGTAGATAGGCAGAGACAGGTAGATGCTAGGTAGGTAGGTGGTAGGTAGGTGGGTACATGGATGTGGACGAATAAAGCATGAGACAAACTGTTAACAGCTGGTGGCTCTGGGTGAAAGATCGCTATATGGGTGATGGATGCACCGTTCCTGTAACCTTTGTGTAGCCTGTTGCAATTGTCCAGGTGAGAGACAGAGATACCTGACTTAGTGCTGTGGTTGTGGGTGAAGAGGGGGCAGAGAAGAATAGAGGTTTAGGAGGGGGATTGACGGGATTAGGGACAAGAATACATGGTCCCAGCTCCTGGTCCGGGTGTCTGTGTGGATGGCAGTGCCTTTTGAGGATAGTGGAGAACTGGGGAGGGGGTGTAACCCCTCTTGGCCGTACTGGATCTGAGAGCCCCAGGAAAGAGGTGTAGAGATGGGGTGTTCAGCAAAGGGTCAAGGCCTTCCTCACTGGCCACTCCTTGCTCTCCTTTGCGATGCCTCATCCTGGATGCCCTTCTGTTCTCTCCCTGAACACTCAGCCACTTGGCTTTCAATACTATCTGGGAAAGTCAACATCCCCTGAGTCCACACCTCTGGCCTGATTTCTCCTCTGAACTCTATCTAGTTCATTGTACAACTAACCTACTTAAGCACCTACTGTGTGCCAGGCCCTGTCCTGGTGTTGGAGAACCAATATGAAGAAGACAGACAAGACCCACCGTGTGGAGCTGGCACCCCGGTGGAGGCAGGGTAGACAGGAAACAAATGAAAAGCCAGACCAGAGAGCGGTAACTGATTTTTGGACAATTAAGACAGGAAGCTGTGAGAGTGAGTGGCCAGATGGACAAGGAGAGCCTCTCTGGGGAGTCAACACTGTGGCTGAGACCTAAGTTTAGAAGCAGAAGGAACAGCCAGTGCAGAGGCCCTAAGGGATGGACAGAGGTGGTGGGTTTGAGAAACAGAGGAAGGCGGGGTGATAGGAGCATGTGGAGCAGGGAGATGTGTAGAGAGGAGGCTGGTGTGGTACCATTAGCAACCTGACCTTCCCTCCAAACCTGTTTCTCCTGCAGTCTCTTCTCTGTCACCACCGGTCCAGCGGCTCAGGCACTCAATCTTGTATTATCCTAATTCCTCTCTTTCTTCACCCTTTATATCCAATTACCAGCAGTTCTGGTTTGCACTGCCTCCAAAACACACTCCTAATCTGTCCCCTTCTGGCCCTCTGTACCACTACTCCCTGGCCAAGTACCACTGCCACTGACCGGCATTATTGCCAGAGCCCCCTCAAGGTCTCCCCCTTCAGCCCATTCCCCCCACAGAAGTTGGAGCCATCTTTAAAAAACATTAATCATATCTTGTCACCACCCCATCCCCACTGCCTTGCCCCATCAGGCTCTGGGGAAGAGGGTGTGGGAAGAAGTAATCACACGTGGGAACAAAACACCTCGCCGGTGTGAATGGCGTGATTGGTAGGCGAGATTTTGTACTATTGGGTTGTCGGAAAAGTCATGACGCATTTTTGCAACGAAAAACATAGAAAAAATACGTCATGACTTTTCCAACAACCCAACAAATACCTGCTTTCTTGCTCTTCCACACACGGGCAGTGGGGTTGAGGGGGAGCTTTGCTTTGTGACCAGCTTGATGTAAGGCAGTCACCACTGTCCACCTGGTGGCAGGGTCCCAAATTGCAGGCAGGGAGCCAAGGCCAGGGAGGAATTAGCCAAATCCCAGATGCTAAGAACTCCTTGACATCCCTCATAGCAACTCCCAGTTTGCCAAGCATACTCGCCTTACCTTGAACATACTTCTTCTCTCTTTAGATACCGGCGGGGGCAGCCGAAGCGCCGGACAGCACTGGGCGAAGCTCCGGGGAGAAAGCGGGACCTTCTTGGAGCGGCACCGGTCAGCACTCACCCAGGCTTCCTCCGGGACACCACAGAGTGGACCTCGAAGTACCACCTCTCAGCCTTCCTCTCTCCATCGCTCTGCGCAAAGAGACGTTGCCCAGACTGCTTCCACACAACCCGATCCCCCCCGATCCTCCTCTCCCCCACAAACCGCTCAACGGGACAACCCCAGATCTTTGTCCAACCAACAGGATAGCTCCAGGACCTCCTCCACAAAGCGGAACACCCCCAGAGCGTCCTCTCCCTCAAGAATCGGTCAACGGGACAACCCCAGAACCTCATCCACCCAACGAAGCAATCCTCGAGTTTCCTCTTCCCCTAGAGCTGCCCAACAGGACAACTCCAGAACCTCTTCTATTCAACAGGACGACCCTCAGCCTTCTTTTCCTACGAGTACTTCCCAACGGGAAAACTCTAGAACATCCTGTGCCC